GAATTGCATATGGGTGTGCCCACGATTCCAGGTGTCGCAGGAATGAGCGATGCAGGCTGAGCAGGCATTGTGGCGGAAACGGACGGTGCGAGCTTCCTCTTCTTCAGTGGGTGGACTTTGCGTCCGGCGGACATGTCAGCTATGCCCATGCTTGCGAAGCTCTGCAGGTGAGTAGATGGATGGGGTATGCGTGGATATCGGGGGATAGAGAACGTGGTCGTCGACTGCAGAGCCGGGGTGGTCGGTAGTTCGGCCACATGTGGCGGGCGCCCAAGGCAGAAAGTGATCGCGGAGACATTTCTTTGGCATCACGCGCGCTTGCAACTTGTAAGTTGGCACGATGCACGAATTCGAAAGAGCAGTCAATGTACACAATGTTGCTTTCAGAAACATTTCGAAACACAGAAAGTGTGGCAATATGCAATACACCAAGGTGCCCCGCTACCCAAACAGAGTATGCAGAGTCGGCTGATGTCCCACGCCAATGATGCAACCCAAAGCTCGATGGCTAGAGATACAGACGTACAGCAAGTACACGATCATCAAAGCGATATACAACATGGGAGACCTACAGCTTTATGCATCAAGCATGTCCAGAGGAAGCGGAGCGCCTCACAAAGCGTCGACGCCGAGATGCAGGAGACTGACCACAACCGTTCACCCCGCTGGCAGATGAAGACGTCGACGCGTCCCCGCTCAAAGTAGTCGCTGCAACCCCAACCACGTTCGCAGAGTCGTCCAAGCCTGTCGACTGAGCATCATTAGCTGGTCCCCCCTCGGAGGTTGGGGAGGACGATGCCGAGGACACGGTAGGAGAAGATCGGGCGGCAGCGTCTGTTCCGGACGAGGAGGCGGCGGGCTGCGAGTTGCCGCAGGCACACTGATTGGGCGCATTATCTGCCACGGACACTGAGCCTGAAGACATTGCAGACGTGGAAGGAGTAGCCGAGCTTGGATCCTGCGAGGATGCGGAAGGAGATGTGTTGTCGCCGCTGTCGCTGTTCTGCCCGTTGTCGGGGACCAGAGCGGCGATGGGGGGCCCGGGCATGACGTAGGGAGGTCCGGGCGTGAACACCTGCGCAGTAGAGTTACTATGATGTCCTCGCCATGCGAACGAGGTCACTCACGTCCACGCGAATACCGCTGTCGTCAGCGCGGTAAAGATCGGCCGTCTTGGTGGTGGCATTGGGGACCAAGTTGCCGTTGCCACCGATGTTGAGTTGGGTGCAAGAGGGATAGAACTCGGCGCCGCCAGGATTTTGTGCGCCCTGCAGAGATATAATCTGCACCAGTGACAGTCAGCGCCACCCGGTCACGACGGTGTCGAAGGGTCGAGTGCATACCTCATTCCGGATGAGATACTGGCCGGGCTCGAGGTTCTCTGGGATCTTTGTCGTGTACGGCTTTCCAGCAGCTGCACGCAAGTCAGTTGTTGACCCAAAGCAGAAGACGAGTCGACATACCGATGACGTCTTTCTGTACCCACGTGGTGCTGTTGACCTTCCCATCTTCAGCGATCTTGAACCACTGTGCGTTCGTCGCGTCGAACTTGTCACACGTCGTGCCCTCGCACTTGGCCATGTACGTGAGGACCGGTCCTACTTCATGGATCCACTGCAGTTGATCAGACGAATCGTGAGCAATCTCCACCAACATCACTTCCCGCGCTCGGAGCTACGTACATTCTGACCGGGAAGTGCATTGCCGGAGAGCCAGTGAAAAGAGATGGTACTGCCAGGGTTTGCCGGGGCGACCACCGCACCAGCTGTAGAACCTAACCCGCATGCAAGGTTAGGATCAGTGACAGACTTCACAGGGCCATTGTTGTTGATGGAGCGGATCGGGCTGTCGATCGAAGGGGAGGCTATCGTGCCCATGTCAGCGCATACAACACGCATGGTAGGCCGAATACGAGCTTACGGCCAACTGCGTTGCCATCGTATGACTTGCCGTCGATGGCCACGTCTGCGACGAAGCCATGGGCGGATACGTACGGAACCAAGGCAAAAAGGCTGGTCAAAAGGAGCGACGAGGTGGGAAACATGGTGCAAGGAGACTTGGCTAGCAGGTCGGATACACAGTAGAGAGAGAGGCAGCGATACGGTAAGTAGAACGAGCCTGCTCGTGGAGGAAAAGTTGGAATCCCGTCCGGCCCTACCCGCGAGGTTTATATGGTGGCTTCGAGTTCCTCGAGCGGCTGACATGTCGCGACGATATCCATTGTGGGCTGGCTCGGAATCGCGCTATCCACCGAGTGATTGAGGGCTGAATGAAGGGCATGCTAGAAGAAATGCAGATGAAAGGGCAAGAACAATGGTATCGCCGGCAAGACCGATTGTGAGCTCCAAGGGTCATGAATGGTTTTCTTACCCGAGTACGGCCTCTCCGTTTCATGTATACATGCGCAGTATATTTGGACGCACCTTGTTGACCTTGGGGTTCCCTCGGAGGCGCCGTAAGTGCCGAAAACGGGTGAGTATAATGATACTATACAAGCTCTACTTCTCCTCGCAATAATAGTTGCTCGACCACATAAAAAGGCACCAGGACGATCTGCCCCTTCTGCATCTCGGACATCGTCCCACTGCATAGCACGTGTCAGACTGAGGATCAATGACCGGAATGTGGCAACGCACTCTGGCAATCGCATAGGTGGACAGTCTTGCAGCGCGTGCGCAAATACGGGGCGCAACTTGTCAGGTTGGGCCGCTGGGTAGCAATGCGTGAATATTGATGGACAATAAGGGTTGACGACGGTGGACTCACTCATTGGGGGCATGAATGGTACGTTCTCTTCTGATGACCGTTGTTGTTCCGGCAGGCTTTGCAGAACGGACTGGTTGAAGTGATAGTCCACTAGCCGCGCGTATCTGTGAATGGACGTCGGGTGAGACACGATTCATGCTGAAATGGAGAGTTGCTGGAGTGACCTGCGCGCATGGTCGAGCTCGGCTTTCGAGAGTTTCTCGTGAATCTCTGGGTTCGCGCTGATGTACTTTGCGTACTTTTCAATCTGTCCGCGATCACCTATGAGCTCTTACAGCCAGGCGTAGCTGGGCACCACTTACCTTGTGCAATCGCGTTCGGATATATGACCGAATGACGAACTTGACGCGCTCAACCTCGGTCTGGACGAGCATGATACGAAAGTGCTCTTCCTCTGATGAGTCGGGGTCCGCACGGAGGAGCTCCACATCGCTGGACTAGAGCTGAACGTCGTCAATCGGATTCCTCCAGCGTGTCGGAGGCGCGCATGTAGCGTTCTTGCGTAGCCACATACAACCCATCCCAACGAAATCCGGGCCTCTCACCTGTTTCCGTATGTGGTCGAGGAGCCGGCCAAGGAGCATCTCCTGTCCAGGCAGGATATCCGGTGCGTGTCGCTCGTTCATCCAATGTCGTATCAACTGCTGGAAGGGGGTCTCCTCCGCGAGATCCTGCGGTATGATCGTCTGGCGGCCGCCACCAGGGAAGTCTCCGATGGGGAAGTCGTCGTCGTCGTCTGCTGCGCTCCGCGCCCGGTCAATAAAAGATGGGCCTGCCATGGGCGCATCAAAGCCGTCGTCCCATCCGGTAGCCATGTATGTTATGAGTATAAGTGGTGCAGAAGCTCAGGGTGTGCAGTGTTGGCGGGAGCAAAGTCGCGTCGCGTCGCGTCTCGGACGCGTTAACTTCGGGCGCTTGGTGTTAGCGCCCTTGAAGAGCGCTCGACGGTTGCGCCGAAGGCTGCCTCTTACTATCGACCCACCCCACGAGCTCGAGGCTACGACGTCTGGGGCAACAACGACCTCTGTGTGTAATTGAACGAGATAAACGGGGGGCAATGTCGCAAGTAATGTGCAGCGGAACACAGCATCAAGTGGCTCACCACCAGACTGGGGGCTGGACACCATACTCGGGCCTCAGCTGCTAACTCTGTTGTACAACTGGAATAACGAAACAGAACGGGTAGCACCAACAATATTCGTACATCGTACATCGCCATCTCGTGGAGCTACTTCTTACCAGGGCTCAGCCCTCCCAGTCATCGTCATCATCGTCTGGCCGGGACCGACCCCCATTCTCCGCCTCGTCCTCCTCCTCTTCCCGGCCCTCTTCCACCTCCATCTCTTGCTCCTCCTCCTTCTCGTCCTCCTCCTTCTCCTTATCGGCCGCCTTCCTTCGCCTCCGCTTCGGGGCGGGCTTCTCGCCGCCGTTCGCGTCGCTGGAACCCTTCTTGTCCTTACCCTTGCCGCGCTTCTTCCGCTCCGCCGCCTCCGCTTCGATGTCGATCGTGCCACCTGCGGAGGGGTCGGGCACGGCCTCTACAATCTCCTTCAGGAAGTCGAGCATGTCGACGGTCTCTATAGCGTGTTTCCTGCACGCGTGAGGAGGGCCCAGGGAAGATGCACGGTGAGACATGCATGTCGAGGATCTCAGCACTCGGAACACCCACAAGTGGTAGGCTTCCACCCTCTTCGACCCGCGCTCTACGGTAACGTTGCTAGCCTCCTTGACAATCATCGCGAGGAAGAGCTCCAAGGCTTTCGCTATACGCGTCGTGCATATGCAGTCAGAACATCACATTGCAATGCGGGTGATGTTGAGACGCACAGATAACAACCGGAGTCGCCTGTGCGACTTTGCCAACCTCCTCGTCCTTCTGCATAATGCGCTTAATGCGCGCCTTTATGGAGGTGTCGGGGCGAAGATCGAGCATAGATAGATGAGAATGCGGGCTGTTCTCAGAGGGAGGGTCAAGGCGAGGATGCGGGAGGGCGTACAACGGGGAACTTGGTGGCCTTGTTCTTGTTCTTCATGATGTGTAGTACTGGTAGCCTCTAACGTTATGTCAGAGGCAGTTGTGGGATGAACAGGAGGAGGGTGTGGTGGTGGTACAGAGAGAACGAGGGAGCAGAAGGTGGTACGCCTAGCGGTGATACCAATATGTAGGGGGATCCAGGGAAGGTGGTTCAAGCTTGAAAAACCTACATAGACAATATACCCAGGCCACTTTTAACACGCCGATGGTGAAGTGGTTATCATGCTTGCCTTCCACTTCTGGTGTTAGCAAGCGGCACGGGTTCGATTCCCGTTCGGCGTATTAGTATTGCAACAGTACTTGTCATTTTTGTCCCTCACAACGCTGTTTGTCTTTTAGCTTTCGTCCGTATAGTAGAAGGTACCTTGTAAAATGTCAATGGAGCCCGGAGCCCGCATCCTGTGTGCAAAGCGGCTTCACGGTTGTCCTCGTACCCACCAAACAGCTTGATCATCAAAATAGCATAATGTACAATAATGTAGACACACAAACGTAGGCTTGGCTCCTAAACTGCTCCCTGCAGGGCGAGCCAACCCTACGGGAGCGGAGGCATAGTGCATAACGACCGAGACGACGAAAGGTCAAACGAAAACACCCGCTGGTAGCCCTCAACCGTACCACTTTTGCCCGATGCGCATTTCTGACTTTGGTCGTGAGGGGATCATGGGTTCCGTGATGTTAAAGACCTCGATGGCGCGCTGCATCGATGTCCGTAAGCGAAAAGGTACAAGTGAACCCTGGAAGAACATATACGAACCCGCCATGTATTCATGTCAAACTCCATGACGATTTGGTGCTTTACAAGACCATCGTCGTAGTCCTCCTGTGTTGGCTGTTCGCACAGCACTGAAGTTGTCTCGTTAGTCTGCAGAATATCACAATGGCGTAGTACGGTACAGTCAACGTACTGATCATCGGTTCCTCCGTCTCTTCCTCGATCTCGAGGGCGCATTTACCGTCACGGATGAGGAAGGAGAGGTAAAACATGTTCTCGACAGATTGTCCGAAGTCATTGGGGTTGATTATGAACTTGAAGAGGTTGACGGAGCCCGTCTTCTCTAATAGTCGTTCGAGCTAAAGGTCCGCATTATTCGTGAACCGCAGTAAACGGGAGGAGAGCACAGCGAACGCACAGTGGCGACGTTCTTTGTCGTCTCGTTCTCTGACCGCGTGATATCCTCTTCCCTGATCTCCTGCGGCTTCTTCATGTCCTCCTTATTCTTCTCGAGCTTCGCCCTCTTAGCCGCCGCCCGCTTCTTCGGTTCAATAGACAGCGGACCCAACCTGCTCACACATTCAGCCCGACTTGCGTCCGACGAGCAACCTCAGCTAGCAGCCACTCACATAAAGTCCATCGCAGGCACCCTCCGACTCTTCGCCAGTGCCCGCCTCCCGATCCTCTCCCAGTCCAACGGCGCGCCCTCGTCGTACTCGCTCGCGTCCTCGAAGTCGTCCGCATCGTCCGCTGGCGAAACGGGCTTGCGCCCGCCCATATACGTGATCAGGCGCGCGACGAAGTCGTCGACGTCGAACGCGCCCGAGCCTGACTTCATTGCGCGCGCCTTGGCCGCGCTGATTTGCGAGAACAAAACAAGGATGCCTGAGTCATTGGTCGCCTCGCTTATGCCGTGGACTAGGCGGATGTGAGCACGCGTTTGGACGAGGGCGAGAGGTGGCGTGAGGTACCTTGCTCGAAGAGGTGGTTGGCACTGCGCAGTTTCTCTGTGACCTGCTCTGTGGTCAAGTCCTGGTTCTCTGCTTCAAAGCATTAGATCGCTACGTCGGTTGTCCATCTGAGAAGGTGGACGCGCCTGTGAGCTCCTGCTCCAGATGCCGATATTGTCTCCTGATGTTGCGCGTCTCCTCCGGGTCCTGGTCTGGATCGTACGCCATGCGTTCGCCGTCCATTGAAGTGTCTTCAATCGCCATAAAAAACGCTTATCAACTACTTGTCGCGAATGCGAAGTGATGAACGCCAAGAAGAGAACTACAGGAGGGCCTGAGTGTGGTTAGGGGGAACGCGTCTTGACCACACATTTACGCGAGTCGCGACGTGCACGTGACTCGCACCAGGGGTGGCGCAGGGACCGGCGGACTCGACAGTTTCGACGACGACGACCGCCGTACCAGCTTGCAGCCTAGCCCGTATCACTCTTATATACTCCAAGATCGAGAGTGCCATGAAGATACGGGGATGTGTGTAAGTCATCCGGGCTTGTGAATGTGCCGGCTCAGGCTGATCATGCACAAGCTCACCATTTGCCATAAATCGCAGTATATCGCAATCGCATGCGACTTCCCTTCAAGCCTGCCCTACTGCTCAGAGTCTCAGGCGTACTACACCAGCAGCGGTAATGTGCCTTTGTAGCCAGTCTGATCGCGCGCATGTCCGACGTTATAGGTGTGCCAGTGTGTCAACCACTGTGACTGTGGCATCCGCTGTGCGCGCGTTGTTTGACACCATTTGCATGGGCCAACTCGCCACATTCGGACCTGCAAGTTTATTGAGAGAGATCAAGGGTGCGCAGCTCAATATGTGAGTATTCTATATAACACAGCGCCCATTGAGTAGGAGGTCTTATTGTCGCGACACTGATGTGTTTACACAGGGGCCGTTGTCTTATGTATTCTTGACAACACGCCCGGGCCTGGGTTATATCGTTGACAGCGAGAAGACCTGCCAGTGCATTCCCTCAGGCGCATTATATCGCTTGACGCCGATGCGCCGTAATTGTACACCTCAGTCGCCCCAGATTCAGTGCGGGACACGCCTGTGCCCTTGTTGTTTCAGGCGTCTTTAAGAATATGGAGCGCGAGGAACAGATGCCCAATAACACGGCTTCACCCTTTGCAACCATCCACCTCTCTCACAGCGACTAGAGAAACCAACATGTCTGCTTTCTACAGCACCATCTTCATTCCTGCGTATGACCATGCCAGAGAGGTAGAGAATATGAGAGGTAGGTGTTCTGTGTTCGAACTCCCCGAACAGACGCTACGCTAGCGCTGACACCAACCGTTGCTCAGTTACCCTCGCCAGATGGAATGCGCGAGCCTTCGGGAGCAAACCCCACCCACCTCACGTGTCTTACTATGATGACATTGCAGGGCAACCACTTTGTGCCAGCTTCCAAAACATTCAGCTCAACGAGACGCAGCAAAGTACAGGACTCTCTCGTTTCTCTGCTCTTCCTGAAGAGGTTCTATCTAAGGTCCGTTGATACCCTTGGCTGTCTAGGATGGCAAATCACTCACTCATAACAGATTTTGGCTCTGCTCGAACCACAAGATCTGCTCAAGATGTCCAGGCTCAGTAAGAGCTTGCGGCGGAAACTGATGTCGAGGAAAAGCCAGCCAATCTGGACGTCCTCCCTGCAGAATGCGCCACACGATGTGCCTCCGTGCCCTCCGTTCATGAGCGAGCCGCACTACGTCGCTCTCTTATTCGCCCCGACGGATTGCATGGTAAGACCCTCCGTCCACCACTTCAACGCGTATGAGACTGACTCTTCATGACAGGGATGTGGCGCGCCAGATTCCGTCCATCCGAGCATTGCTCTGGGATACCCGAGTCTTGCTCTGGGGTGGCAACTCTGTCCACGCTGCACGTCGCTGAAGTGCGTTAGCTCTGAAGATATTTATAGGGTGTTCCAACTTGACTAATCGCCTTGCGTACAGTGTATTATCGTTAGAAGAAGTCGAGAACCGCTTCAAACATGTGCTTCAGCTACACGGCTTCCTCGAGCACCCTTTGTTTTGCAAATGGTACCCCTACAATGTCTTAGCGCACTTTCACACGGGTAAGCGTCGGGATGTCTTCACCCATGCTCCTTCTCTGACACTGATCGACGTGTCCTTTGATTGTAGACTTTCCGGAATGGTATGGAGTCCACTCGGAGTACTTCTTCTACGAGCCCGAAGTGAATTTGTTCTTGACGGAATACGTCCCGCTGATCATCCGGCTAATCCGTCGCGGTCAGCCTGCGGAGGACGTGCTGCGCCTCCTCGTCAACAATCGCCTCGAGTTCGTCCAGGCTATTCTGTTTGTGAGTGTGACTCGGACTTCACTCCTCCTTCGCCTTTCCCTGGAATCTGACTGGGTGTATGTGTTTAGTTCGCTGGAGAGGTGCAGACCTGGCGCATACGACGGGGCTGGGCGAGTTGAGCCTTCGCAAAGATACAGCAAACGATGCTGTACTATGAAAGACTCATACGTTGAACGCTACTCATCCGCGCTACTCATCCGCGCGAGCACGGTAGCAGTGAAGTTCTCCATCGGAGGACGAGGTTCAGCAATTTGTTTATCCACGTATCACATTCATATCCCGTGTGAAACCATCCTATATACCTATCGATCACATTCCACTATACGCAACAGATACAAACCTTGTAAAACTGCAAGTTGTGTCCCAACAAACTCCTACTCGCTGAACGCTTGCGCTCCAGCGGCAGCTCGCTCCATCGCTCGCTTCCACGAGTCGACAATCGTCTGCGGTGCTCCAGGATCCATGAACGACTCGAGGTTCCTCTTCGTCCTCGCCGCGACCTTCTCTGCTCTCGTGCACATTCCTTCCTCCCATTTCGCGATCGCGGCCTCCTTCTCTTCCTCGCCCGCTCCCTTGCTGATAGTGTCCGCCAGTACAAGCCCCAGCTCGAGCGCGTCCAGCATCGCCAGATTCGCGCCTGCACCAGCGAAGGGGCTCATCAGGTGCGCCGCGTCCCCGACGAGAGTCACTCCAGGCTGATGCGCCCAACGGTGTCCAACGGGGAGGTAAAACAGCGGACGGAGGTAGATCGCCTCCTCGTCCGCGAGCTCGATGAACTTGCGCATCCACGGCGCCCAGTCGTGGTAGATCTCCAGCAGCACCTTCTTCGCCTCCTTCGGGTCTTCTGGGAGCGTCCAGTCAAGCGAGTTGCGGTGCCAGGCGTATGCGCGGATGCGTCCGTCGCCGTTCCGCTGGAACATGAGCACCTTCTCGTCCTCGCCCGTATAGCAGGACCCTTCACTAACGGCGTCGCTGATGTCGCGATTCTCCGGGAGCGCGGCTACGTCGGGAGAGAGCGATATCTCTGCTCCAGTCACCCCGTGGTAGATAGGAGTCGCTGGCGAGACAAGGGGGCGGACGCGGGAGTTGGCACCGTCAGCGCCGACAACAAGGTCTGCGGTAGTGGCGAGTCCGTTGGAAAATGTGAGCTCGTGTTTGCCGCCACCGAGGGGCCGAGCAGAAAGGAATGCGTGGTTCCACATGATAGAGGCCTGAGGGACAGCGTCGAGGAGGAGT